CATCCCCCTTCTGTTCTGAAATTTGATTTGTCCTTTTCATATGTGTTCTTTTTTTTAATTGTATCCTTTGGTATATATGGTTGTGACTATTTTCTTCCACTATTTGATCTGAGGAAGTGGGTCTGGCCCACGAAAGCTCATCACCTAATAAACCATCTTGTTAGTCTTTAAAGTGCTACATTTTCCTGCATTTTGTTTCAGCTACACCAGACTAACACGGCTACATTTCTATCACTAATGACATTCGACATCCTAATGACATAAGAAGCCAAGCACCGGGTACTTAAGATACTACGAACCAACTCTATCCGCTTCATTTAGCACGGACACTCTGACAATTTATCCCCATTTTTTTCCTTCTCTTTCCCACCTTGTTCCCTCTCTTTCTCTGCTATTTATTTTGCAACCTGGAGCCCTTAACTCCATTTATCTGAAGAAGAGGGTTGTGCCCATGAAAGATCATGATACCATCTACATTTTTTGTTAGTCTCGAACATGCTGCTCGACTATTCGTTGTTTAAGTTTTTTCAAGTGTAGGGAGATGCAAGGTATATAGGCGGGGAGGGGTGTCTGCTTTTAAAGTTTTAATCATTCGACAGCCTGCTTTAGGCTATTAATCCTGCTCCTACCCAGACCTTTGGCTTCCTCTGCACAGAGGTTACATCCTCTCACTGATCTGGAGTTTGTGCTGTCCTCATGCCATCTCTGAATTTGACCCAGAAGGCTGATGGGTTGGGTTTAGATCAACCCTCAAAGATTCAGCTGCTTAGAATACTCAGTTACATGCTGGGAACTGGGTAATTTTCCCCTCACGTGACTTTCAAAAGTTGCTTCAGCAGCTAGCATGAAACATGCAATCTTCTGCAAATACCTGCTGTGAAAGAGGACAATGACCATCAACGGCACAGTACAGATCCTTAGCAGCTATACTAGAATCTAGGTCTGAAATACCATATAAGCGTCTATTTAAAAAAATATGCTATCCTGTAGGCTCCTACTGTCTTTCAAAACACTCAGGAGACCTTCAGATCAATACTAGCCTACAGCAGAGATCCATTTCACTACAAACTCAACGTTTATCTAAATAAAAGTCAAACTACAGTTTAAACCAAGAGTACATTTGAAAGCCAAGTCCACATTCATAGCACAAGTACAATTAAAGTGCAATTTGTCCAGAGATTATATTACAACCTTTTTAAAAAAAATACCACAAGGCAAAATCAGGTTTGAGCTTGTTTGTGCCCTGAATACAGAGCAAAAAGAAGAACGTTCAACACAGAACATCCTACAGGCCTGAAGCAGAAAAAGAAAGTCTGAGGCATGATCTACACGAAGGAATTTTAGGGAAATATTCCTATTGGTGCTACTACTGGATTAGCAGAAACTGAACAGAGACTAAAGGAAAAACTTCCTGGGCTGGATTCCAATATACACGAAGGCCCCTTTACCTTGACCTGACAGAATAAAGGGCTTGGTATATAAATAAGAATGTATCTTTCTGCCTTGGATATTTATATGGCCCCTATTATTGTATTAATTGAGCATCTCACAATCTAATGTATTTACACTTACACTTAAGGGTAGGGATGTGCCATTAGCCCCTATGGACAGATGGAGAACAGAGGGACAGGCTAAGTGACAACAACATGGTCACTCAGGAAGTCTGTGGCAGTGCATGGATTTAAGATCAGGTTGCTGAGGGGCTAATGCCCCAACTACTGGGCCATCCATCCTCTCTAGCCAGCATCAGGACCGGAGTAGCTGAAGATCTGGCACTGCAGCACCTAGAGACTGACACAGCTACCAGAGATCTATGGAACTTGGGTGTCAATTCTTCGGCATCCCAGGGTTGAAAGACTCTGGGTAAAGCGTTGGCCTCTAGGCACACATTCACTGCAGGCTTAGCCTAGCCCAGGTGTGAGTGTCCATACTGCCATGGTCAAGTTACTGGGTCCTCACTGGTCCTGGTAGGGCTCTGGGGGGCATACTCCACGGTTCTGCGCTTTGCAGAAAGTTGAGTGTCTCTAGGATTCCTTCCCAGTGAGTATCAAAAGAACACGTCAGCCATCTGGGACATTGCGGGGGCAGGAGGCAATGGGAAGGCACTACATGAGCTGGATTTATTTAGCCTGCATCCTCATTCCCAGGGCTCAACAAATCAGCGAGCCGGTCGCCTCGTTCGCTGGCGGCACATGCATACGCAATGCGAGTCTTGCACATGTGCAGTGCGGGGCTGGCGAGTAGATTTCGCTGTGGTTTAGCCCTGCTCATTCCAATAGGTGGGTTAGCAGTCCATGGGCAGTAGGGATGTGAAATCCTGTTTAATCAGTTAATTTGTTAGGTTTAGCAGGTTAAACGATTAAGTGGGCTCCTGGCTCTATTGGCCCCGTGGGGCTCCCAGCTCCACTGGCCCCTGCCCATGGCACGGTGGGCCCGGGACAGCTCCTAGGCAGCGATTAAGGGTGATGCTTACCGTGTAACTGGTTACCCGTTCGAATCCCTACTCTGAAATAGAACCCGGCTCGACTCAGAGGCAGACCCGCTGCCCCTCTACCAAGCAACAAACAGAATTGTGGACAGTCTACAACCCTTATACTTCTAGTAAGCTTGTTTTTGTAGTGAAGCAAGTTCTCAAGTCATGAACGCAGTTAGCCGGCATAGTTTCATGCTACACTCATCACTAGCGAGAATTCCCAAGTCACATTCCGCAAAGACTAAATCAATGTTGTAACACTTCCCGCTTAGAACACGCCTTCCGTGCAAGGGTATCAAAACTCCCTGCAAACATCCAACCACCCCCTGGCACAAGGAAATATCATCTCCACATTTTAGATGGGGAAAGCAGGCAAAAAAAATATTCCAGAGGAATGTCACATGGGAAAAGCAGGGGCCATGGGTGGTTGGTACAGCTGGGGCTGGGGGAGGCAGGCCCTCAGCCCCACCTATAGCTCCACCCCCTTTGTTGAGGCCCCCACCCACCCACCTGGGAGAAGAGCATGTGGGATTGGCGGGGTTGGGGGGGGGAGAAGACACCTCCCCCCTCTACAGCAGGCATTCTGGGGGCAGAGCGTGGGCAGGACCATGCCTGGAGACTTGGGAAGGCAAAGTTCATGGCAGGGGTTTTCTTGTTTAGCTGAAGCATCATCTTCACTATGTGACACGTTTTGTTTACCCAGCAATGGCTGACACATAATTCTGAACTATGTGAT